AAGAACTTCCTATTGTTTTCATAGTATTTAGTTTATTCAAATCTTTCATCAAATTATTGTCGGTATATTCTTTGTTTCGATTGGATGGGAATGTTATGAAGTTTCATAAAAAAAGACAACATACTCAACAACTTATTTGTGTATTTTTCTTGTTAAGTTTTGATGTTTTTGAAAATAATACAGACATATTCGGACATATATCCATTTTCCATAATTTTATAAAGACAATTAGAAAAAGTATTAATTAAATAGGTATATACATAGCTAGACTAGAATATTTTTTATTAGATTTGTCTTGTTTTCCGTAATTGATATGACAAAGAATAAATTGAAGGGTCTTCGTTGCTTAATATAGTCATAAAAAACTATTCAATTCTCTCATCAATATAGACATTGTTCAACTGGTATTTTTTTGCCGATTACGTTATGCAATGAACTGATGTAGTTATCGAGTGTTTGTAAAAGAGATACTTTTATTGCGATATTTATTTTGCTTTTCTTTCCAAAAAAAGTGAACAAACGTGAGTAAATAATAGGTGAGAAAATGTACAAGGAAGACATTTCATTTGAATAGAGCTTGTTACAATGCATAATTGAACTAAACAAATAATAATATAATGTATAAAAGGAAATTACTAAGATTATTAGTTAATAGAATTGATCTGAATATGAGGTATCTTTTGTTTATGCTTTATATTTATTTATTTAAATCTTATAATTTCAATTAGTTTGTTATCTGTTGACAATAATAAGAAAAAATTTTGTTATACTCGAAGTACGTTAATTTCGTTGACTGGAAAGTGTCTCTGCCTTTTTAGAAATCAAATTATGTATAGATCAAATATTTGATTTTGTAAAAGAAATCTCAATAATAATAAATCAATTAATTAATCAACCATATATTTCTATTCTCATTAGACTTTCAATGAAAAAATTTTGATAACGATGTGTTAACGTTCTATGCGTGAAAAAGAATTTTCGTAAGATCCATATGTTAAGAAGTATAAGTGAATCTTTGAAAAGTAGAAGAAAAATTTGATCTAAATGATATTTAAAGAAAATTGCAAATGTCCCCCTATGAAATGATATCCTTCTCGTTACTTTTATGAGAAGTTTCTATCAATAAAAAGGCTTATAATAAAAGATTTATTGACATATTTATATTCGATATATATGATAGAATTCAGTTTGATGTTGATGCTTAAAGAATATTTGTGTAAAGTTTTTTGTTTAAAATATCAAGTAACTTCTTCCGATTGTAACGTATTAAACAATGAGTCTTTTGATAAGATTCATAAACAATTTTCTTTATGTTCTAATATTTATTCAAATTTAATTTATATTTCTTTTTTCAAATGACCTCAGTTCAATTCAAATAGTCATTAGTCCAGAAATCTTACTCATATGAACTGCTGATCGCAAGATTCAATTAGTATGATTAGGTACAACAGATCAAGCATCATATGATCATAGTTGCATAAGAGGAAAATAATTTTTGAATTTTAATATCAAGACAGACGAACTCTTTGCTAGTATCTTCATATGAAGAAATCCAATATGATTTTTTTTTTGTATTAACCTCTTTGAATATCTGTTGTGTCTGTTATTTATTTGATTAAATTAGTAAATTGAATGAAGGCATTAATAATTGTTTTCTTATTCAAACGATTAATGTGGAAAATCAGCTATTGTAATCAATTTAAATTAAATAGTCTGGTTGCTTTGCCTTTTATTTTGAAGAAAGTTCGTTTCCAGGAAAAAGTGCATTTTGATCAGAGATTTCTCTTTAGGTTCTCTAATAGTGTAGAGCTAGGTTCAAATTTGGGTGTGGGTGTAGATAAAGAGAAGACCCCTACCCACACCCACACCCTTCAAAAAAATTTCTTCAAAAGAAAATTTTTATCAAGATCAAATAACAGGAAAATTAGAAGCTGTTGGAGATACAGTAGAACCATTTCATTTTATTTTACATCCAAAAGATGAACAAAATTTAACTCGTGAAGATCAAGATAAAGGAAAAGAATTATATTCACTTTTAGTTCACCATGAAATTATTCAAGGAGATACAATAAGAAAAAGATTTCGAAATAAATCACAAGAACGAGATAAAATAGAAAAGATAATTCGAAATGATCTTGATCCTTCGATTGCCGATTCATTAATTAGTTTATTAAATAGTAAATCTTCTTTTGAAAAAAAAGATTTCGACGATATTGTTTGTTATAGTGAAGAATTATGGCAAATTTTAAATATAAATAGAATAGAAAAGGAATTACCACGGATATATGAAAATGTTTGGAAAGATTTAGAAGATAAAATAGATCCACAACAAGTTAATATTTCTCTATTTGAACAATCAATAGAAAGGAAAATATGCGAAAATTAAATTTAATGATAATGGTCATGAAACAAAAGATCTTCAAACATTTTTAATAGAATTAAAAGATAATATTAGTCAACAAAATCAATATTTTTATCAACACAGATTTACCATTTACTACTAAAGAAGAAGAAGGAAATAATATTCGAATTTATCTAAAAGAAAAAAATATTTTAAAGTCTGGTGGACTTGCTAAATATAAATATGGAGATATTAAAAGAAATATTGAAAGAATTTTAAATAAAATTTTAAAAAATACTCAATTTGAAAATGATAAAGAATTAATTTTGTCGAAAACTTTGTCTTTACAAGGAGATACTTGTTCATTTAAAAAAAGTTTAAAAGCTAATTTAAAAAATTTTATAGATCTTCAAGATCAAGAAAATGTTCCAAGTGAATTAAGATTTTTTGAAGGTTTTAATCTTAATAAATTTTTGACTATTGAAGAAGATAAATCTTGGTGGGATTGAAATGCTTTTGCCGTTGCAATGATAGGACTTGTTCAAGTCATTGCCGGAGCTGTTTTAGTAGCCTTTGGCTTGACTCAGATAGGCAATGCTTTAATATCAGGTACTTTTAGTTGAAAAGAATGGGCAATACAAAAAGCAATTAGCTTCGGTCTCTCTATGTTGACTGTTGGAATTGGAAAGTTTTTGACGGATAAAATTATGGAACAGATTCAAGAAAATGTTATACAAAAGATTGTTAGTAAAATAGAAGAAAATTTATTAAAAGGAATAATCGGTTTAATAAATAATAAAGTAGAAACTCTTTATCTTCAAAGTAAAAATGAACAAGAGTTCGAAAAATCTTTTGAAGAATTGAAAAAACATATTAGAAAAAATATTAGGAAAAGATATTTTATTACTTCAATAATTTGATATTATTCGAACACGAGTTGTATCTTCTTTAAACAATAGTTATCATCTATTTGCTGATGGTCTAAAGAAATCAAATTCAAAATACGTTAAAATAGCTGCTACTACTCTTAAAGCAATAGACATCATTAATAAGTTATGGACTGTAGTTCAATCTGTCTTACAGTTTGAACATGTCCTTAATACTTTAAAAGATATTATTGAAGGTACTACCAAAGAAAATCAGAATATTTATAGAAAAAACATTAATCAGAACCTTGTCGAAACAACAGCAGAACAATTGAATAGTATCATTAGAGAATATATATATATCAACTAAATTAACAAAATAATTAGATAAAGTAGTAAGACAAGCTATTAATGAAACATTAAAACAGATTGGAAAAACCATTGTACAAGGAATAAAGACAATGGTTGATTCACAATGTAATGGAAAAAATATTCAGCTAATATATTGAAACAATCGAATCAAAATAGACAAATCATGCAGAAAGTCAAATTGCTGCTAAACAATCTCTAATAAATCAAGATTCAAAGAAAGAATAACAAGATCGAGTGAAAAGAGAAGATCTACAAAATAATATTAGAAATCCAAAACAAATTACTGCAAGTTATTTGAGAGAAGCAAAAGATAAAGATAAAGCTTTAGGTCTAGCTGATATCAAAATGTTTGCAGATCGTAAAAGAAGAAAAATAACTGTTTACAATTCAGATACTGGAGAAAAAGAAATAATAAATCCTTCAGAAGTAAGAAAAATATCTGTTCTTTTTAAACAATCTGCTAAAATCTATTATGAAGCAGGTGAAGATGGAGATATTGGACATTATTTTACTGGTAGAGGAACAGAAACATATATACAGATCAATGAACGGAAAGATTGTTTGCTAATAGCTTATCATGAATCATTAGGTAAAAAAGTAAATGAAAACATTATAGGACAAGAACGAGTATCACTACGCCGTTATACTGCTAAACATTCAGAAAAATATGTTAGAGGTAGATGGGAGATTGATTTGAATAGACGTAATCAGATGATAGGTGGTATAGCAAAGAAAAACCTTTACATCTTCAATCCTATCACTGTAATGCAGGATGGTTCTAGAAAAAGAAATAAAATATAAATTAATACCTGAAGCTATGAAAAAATTAAGGAATGAAAATGATAAACTAGAGGTAATTACGTCTCAGCCATTTCAGGTGGGTACAATAAAGCAAACAGATACTGTTCGCTTAGATGATCAGAATTTTACTGGAAATAGTGACTATGTTAATTTTCAAGTGCAAATAGGTGGACAGAGATATGAACATCAACGTAGGGATAATGAATCTACAACTGTCGCACATGTTTTAGTGACAAGACCACTAAAAGATTCTGATGGTGTTTATCATTATAGCTCACGAAAAATTGCTAAGGTCCTTCTTGATAGTTTAAATAATGGCAAAACAGTAAAATTACTTGCAGAAAATCTTTAATAGGCATTTCAAATTAATCACCTTTAAGTTTTGGTTAAAATTTATATGTGAACAGTATTAAGATCTTTTCCATCGATACAATGCTCCTATTATTGTTTAAATAAATCTCATTATTAGTAGCATATTCTCTTTCTTCTTATGTATTTTCAGCAATCAATGTGGTGCTTTCTTCAGATTTTATTGATCGAATGAAATGTACTAGAATATATACATATTCACCTTTCTGTTTTTATACAATTTGACAGTAGATCAGTACCACAGTAATAACTTGCAGGAATGACTCTTCTCTTGTTATTTTCTTTGAATGATGACATGATCTCGGAAATACTAGCCAGGAAAGTCTATACACCCTCAATCATCAAAGACTGTGGGTGCTCAGTTTGACCGAAAGCTTCAGTTCTTTTTCTATCATCTTGCTTCCATAATACATCAGAAAAAAATGTTTTTTTTTTTACCACTTACAGTGTTTGCATAATGCTAATGAACGCTATCTCATGTGAAATCAAAATCTTCAAAAAAATCTGTTTGTAAGTAGAAAAATATTTTTTCAAGACTTTGATTATTTTGATTTTACATAAGATAGAGACTCCTTAGACTTGCCTGTTCATTAGAATTATGTGAACACTACAAGTGGTAAAAAAATCATATTATGGAAGCAAGACGATAGAAAAAGAATTTGGGCTTCCGGCCAGACTCAACACCTCCTTATAATTCCAACTTTGCCTATAGACTTTTATGTATTCTGTTATAATCAAAATAATTGATAAAGACTTGACAGTAAAATATTTTATTACACTTCTAAGTATTATATCATTTCTAAAAAGTTTTGTTTGTCATAATTTACTGCAAAAACATTCATATGTTTGTATGTACAAAATTTTATCAAACTAATAAAGAAATGTAAGTTTAAAACTAAAAAATTTTACTAATATCCATTCTCTGTTTAAAAACGCTTATTAATTGAGCTATCCCAATTACTTTCACTTATGTATTGCGGTTTTTTGTATAACAAGTTGTCTGTTATGTTTTATTATTCATCTTTCATTATTGTACTGTTTCCTATTCTATAATAATTCTCTGTATATTGTGCCAACATATTTGTATTATATATTAATATGTTAAAATTGAGTGTTCCTTCTCTTTTCTGTATTACCCACACTTTTGATCTTGTGGATGATTTTTAGCAAATGACGGCTCGTCTCTCCCTCATACTGCTGTCTAGTTAATTTGGTACTAATAAGACAAAAAAAAATATGAGCAAAAGAAGATCGAACTGAAGCATTTTAATTGGTCTTGTTAGCATCGTATACTTCATGCCTCACTATAACATTGATGACGTAAACTGATCTGATAACCATTTTGTTTGACGGTACACTCAAAATTAACCGAAATTAATATCCAAAATAATCAGTAATACCTTGATCAGAATATCTTGATTGCGAACATTTGCAGAACATTTCAAGATGAAAATGTGTCCCTACGTTGTCATTAATAGTCAAAGACTAAACTTTATCTTCGATACAACAACAAAAATTTTTCGGATCGAGTATGTGTAACGAAACCTCTCAACACTTTGAAATTTTTTGTTAAAAACGCAAGCTTTGATTCGTTCTATCATGACTGTAGTGGATTTCCTCATGAAAGTAAAACAATTGAAATCAAGTGAATATGCGATAACTTACGAAAATTAGCAAATCTTGATACTATCAAAATCAAATTTTTCATAAAAACCAGTATCAAGTTAATCCATCTGAAATTCTGGGCGTCAAGAACTAGCGTGATCATCTTATTTCATGACATTTCAGTAAAGGAACTTACATCCTGAAATGCATGCAAATCGATTGCACAGATTTGATGTAAATCTATTACAACAAAATGATTATAGTCAATCACACATTGAGCTCAATGTCATCACAGAGAATATAATGTTTGCGAAAAAGATAATCATCTATATCGATAATGTCCACTACTATCAAATAGAAAACATGCTAAAGGTATTATTCATATATGTTTGTTCTCTTTCTTTTTGTCAAGTATTTTCTCTATTGTTTTCTGTTGGGGTCTTCTTATACCGGTTTTTCTTGCTTTGATATCCTAACCTATATATTTTTCAAATGTATTGTGTTATCTTTTGATATATTCCATTTTTTTGCTTAATATTTGATGTAATATCTGGTATTTCTATTAAAGTGTATCGGTTTTTAACTTCACAAATAAACGTGTTCTGCATAAAAACGTATAATGGATCTGATGCCTGGCATCTGGAAGTCGAAACCGGATGAGACAAACTGCCATGACCATGATTTCGATCTAAAACGAGAAAAAATTTATTTCTTTGGAGTGTGAGTGCAGGTATAGAAAAAGAGAAAATGCATATCCACATCCACACACCTTGTCTGATTCCTACGTTTGGTGAAAGTCACTAGAAGTTGTGTAATAACTCTAGAGTGAAAGAGAACACAAGTGCAGCATAATGTTTTCGTTGAGTTGAATCATTGGTGAAGGGTGTGGATGTGGGTGTGAGTATGGATTTGCATGTCATTATAAAAAAAAGAGATATCCACAACAACATCCACACCCAAGTTTCTAAAGATTTTTAAAAATTTCGTAGCTAACAGTGAACTCTTTCAGTTCTGTTTTCTGACTCAGAAGACAAAGCCGACACTTTTTCTCTTCCTACTTAGTAAAATGGGTTATATGAGTCATATAAAATGATGAAATGACTACTGTGGATAGTTTATAGCATAAATATTTAAACATTCATTTTTTTCGACAAATAAGTCCACGAATATAAAGAAGATTCGAACAAGTTTTTGCTATTTATTTTTGCGCCTTTGATTCAAAGAGGAAAGACTCGTAAGACAAAGCAAGTTGTTCCTTGGAAGACATTCATTTTAATTTACAATATGGCGAAATGCGTCAATTATAGTAGGAAGTTCGATGTGGAGCGTGAGCGCGAATGTATATATGCTCTCTAACGATTTGATCTAGCTACGAATAATATTTAGAAATGGGAGCTACATTTCAATTGACATCCAAACTCAAAGTCTGGTCCATACGGTCTACTTCAACATGACTGACAGAGACAGCTAATGTCATAGCTGTAAAAAAAACCTCTACTTTTTATATCCTTGCGATGGACTATACTATTTAATGATTTTTTTCTTTGCAGAGCCTGCACAATAAGGGTGTGGGTGTGGATGTAGGTGTGGATCTTTCGAAGAACACTCACACCCACACCCACTCCCACACCCACACCCCACACCCACACCCACACCCACACCCACCCACACCCACACAGCACCCACACACCCACACCACACCCACACTCACACACCACCCACACCCACACACCCTAAAGTTGAATTAAGAAATATGATTGATATTTCCACATAGCAACACCAATCATATTTCTTAATTCAAATTTAATTCGTCTAGTGTGAATGACCCCTATATGTTGTGTTTATTTTTGAAAAAAAACGACATCGAGAAGAAAAAAAGATGTGTCGTTATAGTACAGTCAGTTGAATTTCATTCGTATACTATCTCTTTAAATATCCTTCAAATAATTAATGTAAGAGTTGGGTGTGGGTGTTAACCTTCGCCTCATCCAACCACACTGACACCCACACTGACACCCACACCCCACATTCCAAAGAAGAAATTAGCTGTAGAATTAAGGAGTTTAGGATAGGAACAGAGGGTTAAGTCTTGAATTCAGAAGGTAAGGATAAGAATAAAGGTTAGGTGCAGATTTAACAGATTAGGTATAGGATTAACGGTTAAGGTAGCAGTAAGAAATAAGTATAGAAACAAGAGATCGGACAGGTAGATAAGGAGTCAAGTACAGAAATAAGAGAATGGAACATCGTACGAAACCTTTTTTTAAGCTAACAAAAAAGTAGTCTTGTACGAAACCTTTTTCTTACGAAACCTAAGAAGGGTTTCGATTTCGTTACAAAGTGCAAAACCCTTTTTTAGTTTCGTATAAAACCTTTTTTGTTTTCAGTGTAGTCCTTTACTTCACTTATTGAATTCGATTTTGAATATCTGTACTCGATGATTTTTCCAATCGACAACATAGAGATTACCGTGTTGATCGAATGACAAACCGATGGGCATATTGAGTTGCTTCGACTGTCATCCTCTACCGTTTCCACCAACAATTATACTTCTCTGTGTGGCTCCTGTGGGACAACGCATGATTCAAGCATTCACTTCATCAGCCACATAGACAATGGCCAATTGATCAACAACGATTCCTTGAGGATATGACAATTGTGCAAGACCATTTCTTTCTCCTTGACCAACTGCCATCACAATGCCTTGTTTTGCACTTTTCACTCACTTCATCACAGGATAGTTTCCACAGTTAGACACGTACAATGAATGATCTCGTTGGAAGAATACATATCATGGAGAAAAAGAGTTGATGGACACGATTTTTCTCAACCGAGTGCCAACATTCCCATGCTCACCCACACTCACACCCTTTCCCCACTCATCTTCTGCAGTTAAAATCATTTGAATATTTAAACTATGATTCTACTAGGTATGAGAGCATACAAAGTAAATGAATGATAGAAAAATACAAAGTACGAGATAGAAAAACTAACAAGTCTGCAAGAGAATATTTAAACTGTCAGTACCATTATTAGCGATGGCAACATCTAGTTTTCTGTCATTGTTGAAATCGCCAATGACAATGGAGAATGGATGGGATCTATACTCCAATGGAAATAAGATGATACTTGCAAATGTGCCGTTGCCTTGTCCAAGAAGTACACCTAGATAATTGGTATCATGATTCGCGACGACAATGTCTAGTATAGTATCATTGTTAATGTCTTCAGCAGCTAAAGAGTATCCAGACGAATTGGAGCGTGTTGGATACATCATTTGATTTCCAAAAGAGCCATTCTCATATCCAAGAACAATACCAACACTGTCAGACTCACAACTAGCAAAGACGATATCCACTCGAGTATCATTGTTGAAATCACCGACAGCCATAGAGCATGGATATAAATATGGATAAGTTGAATATGTGATTTGATTTCCAAAAGAGATATCTCCATATCCAAGAAAAATACCAATATTGTGCGCACGTGAATTAACGAGGCCAATATCCATTAGACCATCATTATTAAAATCGCTAATTACTAAAGACTGTGGTCGAGAATTATTTCCAGTTTCCAGTATCATTTGCTTTACAAAAACTATATTGTTATAGCCAAGAAGGACATTCACATCATTGCTCACAGAATTAGTGACAACGATATCTAACCAAATGTCGTTGTTGAAATCACCAACAACTACAGATTCTGGCCAAGAGCCAGCTGAGTACATTGTTTGATTTTCAAAAGAACCATTTCCATTTCCAAGAAGGACACTCACATCATTGCTATTCGTATTGGCGACAACGATATCTAGTTGAGTGTCGTTGTTGAAATCACCAACAACTACAGATGCTGGATACGAGCCAGCTGAATACCTTCTTTGATGTTCAAAAGAACCATTTCCATTTCCAAGAAGAACACTCACATCATTGCTACCCGCATTGGCGACAACGATATCTAATCGAATGTCGTTGTTGAAATCACTAACAACTACAGATGCTGGATAAGAGCCAGCTGAATACCTGCTTTGATTTTCAAAAGAACCATTTCCATTTCCAAGAAGAACACTCACATCATTGCTCCGAGAATTCGCAACAACGATATCTAGTCTAGTGTCGTTGTTGAAATCACCAACAACTACAGATTGTGGCCAAGAACCAGCTGAATACCTTGTTTGATTTTCAAAAGAACCATTTCCATTTCCAAGAAGGACACTCACATCATT